AGACGAGCTTATTAATCAGGAATAAAGCATTTATAACTGTTGTTATGAATAGCATACTAATGAGTGTTAATGTAGGAACAATGCTTTATAAATGATGAATTAAGTGTTATTATATGTAGTTATTATAAAGTGTTACCCAAAAGTATTGTGTAACTGACTACTGTACTCATCCAGTGTCATAAGAGGCGTCTCCCACAAACATGTTAACCAACAGACCAACAGTTTTAAAACATCTGCAATGGCACATAATCTGTCTCGGTCTTTGATTCTGATAAAATGTCTCATTCCACTTCACTTTTAATTTGTTTCTTTTCCCGCCCACAGTTCCCTACAAGTATGACTGGTACTCTAGAGAAGGGGGCCCACCACCAGGCCTTGGACCTGTCCGAGGAACTGCCGCCGCATCACCACCATCATCACCACAACAACCACCACCAGTATCTCCACCATTCCAACTCACTAGCCTCCACCACCGCTGTGGGTGGAGGCAGAGAAACACCTTTGCGTGTAGTTGTACCTCCTCCGTATTCTGCAGCTGAGAGCGGTGGTGGGGGTAGTGAGGCTCCTCTGGAGCTGCGGGGGTCCCTGGACTGCTGGGCCTGCTCCGTGCTGGTGACGGCTCAGAACCTGATCATCGCCACGATCAACGCCGGCCTCGCTGGACTGGTGTTCGGGACCATCCTGACACCGGCCATCATCATGGTCGTGTTTGGCTTCCTATGCCACTCTACAGTAAGACACGGGGAGATAGGGGAGAGGGTGGATGAGCGAGTGTGAAATGTATGCATGTTGAAGGATTTTGATTTAAAGTAATCAAAAAACCCTTTAAAAACTGGTGCAGTGTCCTTTGGTATGAGAGTAAAAAATGTGTTTGCATGTTCGTGAGGATAAATGTTGACTCACATTTGCTACACATAAACAAAAGATGAGAGGAATAAAGAAATGTCTACATCCATCTTTTTATATAACATCTAAAAGTCCTAATCTCATAACTTTGATCCAAAAGTTCCAAACAGTTGTGCCCGGGGCTTAGGGTGGAGTTTGGCTCCACCAGCGATGAGAAGTTTTATAATCTGATAAGTCTGAGGTTCTTTCAGATGTTGAGGAGATGTAAGAACTGGAGGGGCTGAGGGGTCAGGAGTCTAGGGAGCCAGGCATCAAAACCAAAAACTTTAAAAGACTGTTTGGTAGCCATCTGGGGATTTAAGGTCTCCTGGGATCAGACAAAATATTTAAAAAAATGCACAGAATGTGATGTAGACAGCTAAAAACATAAAAGAAGACACGTTACTCAAACAAAACAACCTTCTCTACCAATTAGTCAAAAAGCATTCACCTGTGCTTCCCCAAAATGTCATCGCGGTTCAGGGAATTTTAATGCATACCGATGGCATTTCTGCAGGCCGACGACCTCCTTAATGACCGGAGAGACCAGGATTCTGTTCCCCTGCTCCCTCACAATTAGGCCTCATGTGACATCAGCTTAGAGAGGGATTAACCAGGACCTGGGAGTGGAGAGAGGGGGAGGAATCAAAAGAGAGAAAAAAAAGGGGGGTGAGAAGAAAAGTAGATAAAGACAGGTGAGATAAGTGTTTAGGGTTCTTCAAAATGAACAGGCAACAATGAGAACATTTTCTAGTTATTCGAGGGAATTCCGTTTATAATAGTCATCCAAAAACACACCAAACACAATTTTTCACACGAGCAAAAATAAGCACATTCTTAGGCTCATTTTGCTTACTCTTCCCCACACTCCCTCCCTGCCTCCCTCCTTAATGTTTTGCATTCCAACGCCAGCTGGAATTTCTTTCTGACCAGCTGTAAGTCTACATCCGTCAGGATGGCATCACAATAAAAACATATACAAGTACCAAGATCTGGAAATGACCATTTTCAAGCTTTCGCAACAGTGTGAGATCCCTTATATTATATAACTACTAAAAGTGTATGCTCAACTTTCTCCAATAAAGTTATTGAATCAAACCTCTACCATAATAAATACTCTTCTCCCCCCTGAGCCTGCTCAGTTCTGCAAAATGTATTTACTCTCTGCACTTTTCTCATGCACTTGAATGTTCACTTCATCTTTCATGGAGAGATAAGGATGATTCAGGCCCGCTGTCTCTCCATTCCCTCCCACACTGAAATCCTGACCCTTCTACCTCCTCTCCCACTCCCCCAGTGTTCAGCTCAGCCACAAGCATGCATGCTTTGACATACTGTGTATTTATACACAGATCAGCAGTAGTCGCTACCAAGTTCCTAAGTTTGTTTGATTTTTGTCAAAATTAAATTGAGTGACCTACTGATTCAGTGCATGCGAGAGTGAGAGGTCTCAGACTACCTACTGGTGTCTGTCCTAACCTCAGACACACATAACACACAGAGCGCGTCATCTGTCGTCCTTATCTGTACTTCATAAAAGCATTTAAATCACTGCTGTTCCATGTGTGCAGAGATAACTCAAGATACAAAATAAAAACACAAGTACACACAAGCCAAAACACCAACCAATTTTGAAATCTGCAGGCCAAGTTGCTCTGCAGCTGCCCCTTGACCTTTGACCTCAGATCTGAAGGAAGGTTTTTCTCCAAGCGTTAATAAACAAGATCATAAAGAATTCAGATAATTATCGATGATGCCCTTAAGCAAGGCCTTTAACCCCCCCAGACTGTGGATTTGTTGGGCAACTTCCAGGTGTGGATGTGTGCAACTCTTGTGAGAGTGGCACATTCCTGAAAAATGGATTACTAACCTGGTTGAGAAAATGTTGATACAGGTGAAACAGCGGTTACATAACAAACTTGCCTCTACAGCATCCTGCCTGCGGCCATATCATTCCAACCGCCGTCTCTCTCCTCTCGTCCCACCAGGTCCGCCCTCATGGGACGACCCCCTACTGCTCGGACCTGCTGACTGACGGAGGCTGCGTGGCTCTGCTGGTGGTGGGCTTCCTCTTGGTCACCCCTCTGCTGGTGCTGGCGCTGGCCGCATACTGCCGCCTAGCCCGACACCTCCAGCTGGGCCTGTGCTTCATCCCGTACAGCCGGGCCGTGTACAAGAACCTGCCGGCCACCCGACACCGTGGCCTGGGCACCGGCTGCTGTGGAGGCCGAGATGGAGCCGATGGTGGCGGAAAGGGAAAGGTCTGGGTGTGAGCTGGAGATGGAAGTAAGGGGGAGAGAAGGGAGGGGGTGAGGAAGACCATCAGATGAAGAACATGAAGGGAACTGAACAAGAGGACAGGGTGGGGGTTGTATGGGATGACTAAAAGGCAATGGATGTGAAGAACAGATAAACCACCAGAGAAGGGAGGAAGTTATAAATGGCAATTACTGTAACAACCAGCTGAACATCCTGGAAGACTAGCTACACATACTGAGTAATGGCTTACATCCAGGTCTTAACTTCAGAGCAACATTATCGATTGTTCAGGAAAACAATATATATGGTGTACTAAGGTAATTGTTGGTATAATTACAAATGAATAAAAAATAATAACTACTAAGGTATTTGTTGGCATTATTCCACTGGACACATCGGCTGTTACTGGAATTTTGTAACTAGATAGATAGATAGATACACATATATATATGCATACACACACACACACACACACACACACACACACACACACACACACACA